ATCCCAATCCTTAATGCAAACCAAGGCTTCAATCAACATTGAGTGACTGGTCTTTTAAAATAGAGATCATCAAATAGCGATGAAGTTATTAAACTAAACCAATCATTGAGTGACTTTTGATAAATTATCAATTTACTTTGGTATGCAAGTATAAAGTTACTTTGATATAGAGTCACAAAGAGAGTGAAGAAAGTTGAAGAAAAAAGAGGATAATTAAGAGGATGAGGAGAGATTGTGAACAGAAAAATAGATAAAGATAGAAGGAATAGTGATATATAATAGAAAAACACGAGTATCTATAAGAACAAAACCGGCATTATATAGAAACAACACTTTTTAAAAATAAAAAATAATAAAAACGTGATGGCAATGTGTTTCTTTCCTTGTGTATATTGTTTTTTGAGGAATCCTTTTATTATGTGATTGATTATAAAAAAGGGTCAAGAATGTGAAAACTGAAATATTAAACTGCTAAAATAGGAATTTGCTCTTTCTATTAAGGAATTGTGTGTTTACCTTAATTAAAAAGTTAAAAATTTAAATAACAAATAAGAGCATTGGGTCTAGTGGTATGATTCTTGCTTTGGGTGTGAGAGGTCCCGAGTTCGATTCTCGGAATGCCCCAATTTGTAGCAACTAATATTTTCGGGCAGTTTTGGGCAAATCGGGCAACTCGGGCTTCGGGCAAAATTCAGGTTTTCAGGCTTATTTTCGGGTCGGGCAATTCGGGCATGGTCGGAAAATTCAAAAAAATTCCGGCGGACGGCGGTATAAGGCGGTTAGACGGCGGCGGGCAAGAGAGTCAGTGTCAAATTCGGGCTGCCCGAGCCCGAACCCGAAAATCTAGCTTGGGCGGGCGGGAGATGGGCTTGCCCGCCCGAGCCTGAAAAGATTCAGGCTTCGGGCAGCCCGCCGACCCGAACTTCCAACACTAGCCGTCAGTAGAGTTAGCTGCTCGAATGATCAGTCTAGTGGCCCGCTAGTTGAATCGTCAAATGAGGCTGCTAGCTTAGCACTTGAGAATTTACATAAAGATCTCTTTCTCAGCAGTATCAATCAGTGAGATCTTGCCCAAAATAGCAAAGGATAAACTCAATCTTCATCTTAACTTGCTCCCTAAACATTATCTCTACAAAGAAAGTCTCCTAGAGGATCTTCCATGAAATTTGCGTTAAATGATATTTCTTAGCACCGAGGCCTATCAAACCAGCCCAAATGCGTCCATAGAAGGGGTTCTCGCACCTTGCTCACGTCCTCGCCATTTTGCACCCATTCTTAGGCCTTTTTCACAGCTTTTTCCGTACTTTTCAATATTGTCACAACATTTTTCTGATATTTACACGGAGAATATCGTTATAATCCTCATCAATATTTATAGTGGATCATCTAAAGATTCTACAATTGGCGTACTCTGAATTATTGAAAGAATTACTATAAATCTGTGTGTCTCCTATACTAATATGATAATCAATTGAATTTAGTCATTGGTCTCTTATAAATTCAATTCTAAAATTTCACCCTCTACATATTACAAATTTAAAAAACTAATAATACATATTATTTACAATGGGATATAACACTTGTATTTGTAAATCTTACATTGTCGTTTGGTTCCATAATTTCCTTTAATTTTTAACAAGTGTTTTTTAAGTAATTTTAGCGATGTAAGAGACGTCTCCCAATATTACTACATATTGCTAAGTCAAAATGTCACACTACCTGTAACACCCTGAAAAATTAAATGGGATTAATTAAGGTAATTGAGATTTATTAGTGTGCCTAATCTGATTTAATTAATTGATTATCATTTATTAAATGTTTCTGATGAGTAAATTTAAATAATTCCAAGGTATTTAAATATTTTCAGTATTTACATTTTTACCCAGAAGTGTGTATGGGCATATTTTCTGGACTGTTATTTTAAACATTTTGACACCTGTCCATTTCCTTTTTCTTTTTCTTTTTCTTTTCCTTCCTTTCCTTTGTCCCTTCCGTGCACTCTCTCTCTCTTTCACTCTCTCATTTTCTCTCGTTCTCTCGCTCTCTCTCTCTCTCCCTCTCCTATTTTTGTCTCAAACCAACCAGATTTCAAACCAAAGAAGGATTTCAAGAAGTTTTCAACGCCAAGAGAAGGATTCGAGGTAAGATTTCTGAAAAAAGTCTCTTGAAACTCAGATTTTTCAGATTTAGAAACTTATTTTTGGTTCGAAATAGATTTTGATGGATTTTGAGTAAAACCATGGTAGAGATTGGAGATCTTGGATTCTTTGAACTTGATTTAGTACTTAGAACCCGGATCTAGTGGTTTTCTTTTGAGATGTCTCGATTTGGACTCAGATTTACAGGTTTTTGGGCTGATTCCGCAGGTTTTCTTCGCATGCTGTTCTTCACAGGTCAACATGTGCGGTCGACTGGACTGCATTGGGTATACCTGTAACACCCTGAAGAATTAAATGAGATTAATAAAGGTAATTGAGATTATTAGTGTGCCTAATCTGATTTAAATTAATTGAGTATCAATTAATAAGTGTTTCTGACACGTATAAATTTAAATAATTCTAAGGTATTTAAATATTCTCAATATTTATATTTTTCCCAGGAGTGTGTATGGGCACATTCCTGGACTGTTGTTTTAAAATATTGTATACATGTCCTTTTCTTTTTTTTTTTTCCTTTTCTTTTCTTTTTCCTTTTCTTTTCTTTTTCCTTTTCTCTTTCTTTCCTTTTCTCTTTCCTTTCCCGTGCTCTCTCTCTCTCTCTCACTTTCTCATTCTCTCACACTCACTCTCTCTCCTTCGTTGTTGTCTCAAATCAAACCGGATTCGAACCAATGAAAGATTTAAGGAAGTTTTCAACGTCAAGAGAAGGATTCGAGGTAAGATTACTGAAAGGACCTCTTTTGAATCTTAAGTTTTTGAATTTTAAAAAACTTATTTTTGGTTCGAAATAAATCTTTACGGATTTTGAGTAAAACCTTGGTAGAAATTGGAGATCTTGGGTTCTTTGGACCTGATTTAGTACCTAGAACCCGGATATAGTGGTTTTCCTTTAAAATATTTCGATTTGGGACTGAGATTGTAGGTTTTTGGACTGATTTTCGCGAGCTTCTCTCGCGCAGCTGGTGCCACCGGTCGACCTGTGTGGTCGACCGGATCACATGGTAACGGGTCGACCAAATTGCATTGGCCTAACCGGTCGACCTGTCCGGTCGACCAAATTGCACACCACTGGTCGACTAGTGGTGATGCACTGTTCTGTCACCGGTCGACCGGTTGACACGGGGTCTTACCCTGTTTGGCCTGAAATTGCTATTTTGACAACTGTTTTTAGGGAGAACCCAAATTAGCTTCATTTGGGGACTTGAGATAAATGGATTAGCATCTTTAATCCTTGATTTGAGATTGAAAACCCTTAGAATGATAATTTTAGACATGAAAA